ACACACACACCACACACACACCAACACACACAACACACACAACACCCCAAAACCAAAACACAACACACAGGAGCTCGGACTCGACCCCGCAACCTCAACTAGGTGAGTACAACTAGGTGAGTACACACACACACACACACACACACACGCACACACACACACACACTCACACACACACACACACACACACACACACACACACACACACACACACACACACACACACACACACACACACACACACACACACACACAACGACAAAAGGGAGGACTACACAGGTATGAGGAACTTCATGCTGGAGGATCAGTGGGAAAGAGGATTTTTAGGAAAATCAGTAAACAAAATGATGGACTACGTAACAACAAAATGCAAGGAGGCAGAGGAAAGGTTTCTTCCCAAGGGCAACAGAAATAATGGGAAGACCAGAAGAAGCCCTTTGTTTACCCGAAGGTGTAGGGAGGCAAATACTAAGTGCACTGGAGAATGGAAAAAGTACAGAAGACAAAGGATCCAGGAAAATAAAGAGATTATTCGAAGAGCCAGAAAAGAGTATACACAGGTAAAGAGGGAGGCCCAGCGACAGTACGAAAACGACATAGTATCGAAAGTCAAGTCTGACCCGAAACTGTTGTAAAGGCTGAGGAAAGAAGGTGGGGAACTCACAAGAAACGACCAAGAAGTGCATGAGGAGCTTAACATGAGATTTAAGGAAGTATTTAAAGTGGAAACAGAAAGGACTCTGGGAAGACAGAACAGTGGGGTACACCAAAAAGGGATATACCAACAAGTGTTGGATGAAATACACACAACCAAGGAGGAAGTGAAGAAGCTGTTAAGTGACCTTGATACCTCAAAGGCGGTGGGATCGGACAACATCTCTCCATGAGTCCTTAGAGAGGGACAAGAGACGCTGTGCATGCCACTAACAACACTTCTCAACACATCCATTTAAACTGGGCAACTACCTGAGGTATGGAAGACAGTAAATGTAGTCCCCATTTTTAAGAAAGGAAACAGACACGAGGCAATAAACTACACACCAGTGTCACTGATGTGTATAGTATGTAAATCATGGAGAAGATTATCAGGAGGAGAATGGTGGAACACCTAGAACAGAACAAGCTTATAAACGACAACCAGCACGGATTCATGGAAGGCAAATCCTTTGTCACAAACCTACTTGAGTTTTATGACAAGGTAACGGAAGTAAGACAAGAGAGAGATGGGTGGGTAGATTGCATTTTCTTGGACTGTAACAAGGCCTTCGACACAGTTCCTCACTCTTTAGTAGTGGAAAAGCTAGAGGATCAGGCACATATAACAGGAAAGGCACTGCAATGGATCAGAGAATACCTGACAGGGAGGCAACAACGAGTCATGGTACATGACGAGGTGTCAGAGTGGGCACCTGTGACAAGCGGGGTCCCACAGGGGTCAGTCCTAGGAACAGTGATGGTTCTGGTATATGTGAATGACACGATGGAAGGGATAGACTCAGAAGTGTCCCTGTTTGCAGATGATGTGAAGTATCTGACATCTGTTGCAGTGTCTGACATCTGTCAGACACTGCAACATCATGGAATCTTGATACAATGAAGTTTTCAACACTTGTCCAACCTTTGGACGAAGACCTACTTACACTAGTGGATGGTTCCACTGTGATCCCGCCTCCTCCTACTTACACTAGTGGATTGTTCCACTGTGATCCCGCCTCCTCCTACTTACACTAGTGGATGGTTCCACTGTGATCCCGCCTCCTCCTGCTTCCACTCACCTCACTACAGTACATAAGCCACGTCTACGACCCCATGCTGTACTTTCTGCAAGAGTGATGGACTGAACACATTGATTCCAGGCTGAGGGACTAATTTCCTCAAACTTCTCCTCACCTTATACCTTCCTGCTTTGTATTGGACTGATGAAGCCACTGTGTGGCGAAACATTTCTTCAATAAAGATTCCCGTATGTTGCATAAGTGTCTCAATCTTCAACTTGTCGGTTTTCAAAACCATTTATCACACCATTCAAAATTAAAATAAAAATCTCTCTCTCTCTCTCTCTCTCTCTCTCTCTCTCCTCTCTCTCTCTCTCCTCTCTCTCTCTCTCTCTCTCTTCTCTCTCTCCTCTCTCTCTCTCTCTCTCTCTCTCTCTCTTCTCTCTTTCTATATATATATATATATATATATATATATATATATATATATATATATATATATATATATATATATATATATAATATATATATATATGTTGTGTTGCAGCTCCCAAGCCCTGCGCCGGGTACCAGTGCCGCATGTTATGTCCCTACGAGTTTGAACTGGACAGTGAGGGTTGTCCACTGTGTGAGTGCCGTGACCCGTGCCGTGGTGTGACCTGCCCAGGTGACACTGCCTGTATCCTGGAGGAGATTCCCTGTACGACTGAACCCTGCCCACCCCTGCCAACCTGTGAGTCACACTGCCCACCCTCGCTTTTACTCTTAGTTATATGTGAATTCCATATCTACCACTGGCGGAGGTAGGATGGAGCCTCCAGCAGTCAGAGAATAACTCACACCGTTTATTATATAATAAATTCTTCTTAATGCGTAATAAAAAGTGAGTTATGAACTAATAATAATAATAATTACGACAGTAATAATAATAATAATGATAATAATAATAATCATAATAATAATAATAATAATAATAATAATAATAATAATAGTAATAACAACAATAATAATATATAATAATAATAATAATAATAATAATAATAATAATAATAATAATAATCATGACATAATAATAATAATAATAATAATAGTAATAACAATAATAATAATAATAATAATAATAATAATAATAATAATAATAATAATAATAATAATAATAATAATCATGACAGTAATAATAATAATAATAATAATAATAATAATAATAATAATAATAATAATAATAGTAATAACAACAACAATAATAATAATAATAATAATAATAATAATAATAATAATCATGACAGTAATAATAATAATAATAATAATAATAATAATAATAATAATAATAATAATCATGACAGTAATAATAATAATAATAATAATAGTAATAATAATAATAATAATAATAATAATAATAATAATAATAATCATGACAGTAATAATAATAATAATAATAATAATAATAATAATAATAATAATAATAATAATAATACCACAATATTTACATTATCTTATCTTTCTGTTTTTATTTTTAACTCACAAATTATTATATATAATTAACCAGTAATTTTGTTTCTAATTAATTAAATCCTCAAAAAAATTATTTCTGTAAACTGGACAAGTTTTATTATATCTATTTTTTTGGTAAATAAATTGTCTATAGTACTTTTAGGATCTATCTATTTTTTGGTGATCCGAAATAGATTATTTTCTATTGGTATTATCTATTATTTGGTTAATTTTTATTAGTGCTCAGATTTTAATTATAAATTCTTGAAGAATGTTTGTTGTGGTGGTGATTGTGGTTAACAACCACAATCACCACTATTACCACTGTTACCACTACCACCATCTTCACTGTCACCACAATCACTAACATTGATCTACCACCATCATCACCATCACTAACATTGATCTACCACCATCACCACCATCACTAACATTGATCTACCACCATCACTAACAGTGATCTACCACCATCACTAACTGATCTACCACCATCACCACCATCACTAACAGTGATCTACCACCATCACCACCATCACTAACAGTGATCTACCACCATCACTAACAGTGATCTACCACCATCACCACCATCACTAACAGTGATCTACCACCATCACCACCATCACTAACTGATCTACCACCATCACCACCATCACTAACAGTGATCTACCACCATCACCACCATCACTAACAGCGATCTACCACCATCACCACCATCACTAACTGATCTACCACCATCACCACCATCACTAACAGTGATCTACCACCATCACCACCATCACTAACAGTGATATACCACCATCACCACCATCACTAACAGTGATCTACCACCATCACCACCATCACTAACATTGATCTACCACCATCACCACCATCACTAACAGTGATCTACCACCATCACTAACAGTGATCTACCACCATCACCACCATCACTAACAGTGATCTACCACCATCACCACCATCACTAACTGATCTACCACCATCACCACCATCACTAACAGTGATCTACCACCATCACCACCATCACTAACAGTGATCTACCACCATCACCACCATCACTAACTGATCTACCGCCATCACCACCATCACTAACAGTGATCTACCACCATCACCACCATCACCACCATCACTAACAGTGATCTACCACCATCACCACCATCACTAACTGATCTACCACCATCACCACCATCACTAACTGATCTACCACAATCACCACCATCACTAACAGTGATCTACCACCATCACTAACATTGATCTACCACCATCACCACCATCACTAACAGTGATCTACCACCATCACCACCATCACTAACTGATCTACCACCATCACCACCATCACTAACAGTGATCTACCACCATCACCATCACTAACATTGATCTACCACCATCACCACCATCACTAACAGTGATCTACCACCATCACCACCATCTCTAACAGTGATCTACCACCATCACCACCATCACTAACAGTGATCTACCACCATCACCACCATCACTAACAGTGATCTACCACCATCACCACCATCACTAACAGTGATCTACCACCATCACCACCATCATTAACAGTGATCTACCACCATCACCACCATCACTAACAGTGATCTACCACCATCATTAACAGTGATCTACCACCATCACTAACATTGATCTACCACCATCACCGCCATCACTAACAGTGATCTACCACCATCACCACCATCACTAACAGTGATCTACCACCATCACCACCATCACTAACAGTGATCTACCACCATCACCACCATCACTAACAGTGATCTACCACCATCACCACCATCACTAACAGTGATCTTCCACCATCACCACCATCACTAACGTTGATGTACCACCATCACCACCATCACTAACAGTGATCTACCACCATCACCACCATCACTAACAGTGATCTACCACCATCACCACCATCACTAACAGTGATCTACCACCATCACCACCATCACTAACAGTGATCTACCACCATCACTAACAGTGATCTACCACCATCACCACCATAACTAACAGTGACCTACCACCATCACTAACAGTGATCTACCACCATCACTAACAGTGATCTACCACCATCGCCACCATCAGTAACAGTGATCTACCACCATCACCACCATCATTAACAGTCATCTACCACCATCACTAACAGTCATCTACCATTATCACTAACAGTCATCTACCACCATCACTAACAGTGATCTACCACCATCACTAACAGTCATCTACCACCATCACTAACAGTGATCTACCACCATCACTAACAGTCATCTACCACCATCACTAACAGTGATCTACCACCATCACTAACAGTCATCTACCACCAACACTAACAGTCATCTACCACCATCACTAACAGTCATCTACCACCATCACTAACAGTCATCTACCACCATCACTAACAGTGATCTACCACCATCACTAACAGTGATCTACCACCATCGCCACCATCAGTAACAGTGATCTACCACCATCACCACCATCATTAACAGTCATCTACCACCATCACTAACAGTCATCTACCACCATCACTAACAGTGATCTGCCACCATCAGTAACAGTGATGTACCACCATCACCACCATCATTAACAGTCATCTACCACCATCACTAGCAGTCATCTACCACCATCACTAACAGTGATCTACCATTATCACTAACAGTCATCTACCACCATCACTAACAGTAATCTACCACCATCACTAACAGTCATCTACCACCAACACTAACAGTCATCTACCACCATCACTAACAGTCATCTACCACCATCACTAACAGTCATCTACCACCATCACTAACAGTGATCTACCACCATCACTAACAGTGATCTACCACCATCGCCACCATCAGTAACAGTGATCTACCACCATCACCACCATCATTAACAGTCATCTACCACCATCACTAACAGTCATCTACCACCATCACTAACAGTCATCTACCACCATCACTAACAGTCATCTACCACCATCACTATCAGTGATCTGCCACCATCAGTAACAGTGATGTACCACCATCACCACCATCATTAACAGTCATCTACCACCATCATTAACAGTCATCTACCACCATCACTAGCAGTCATCTACCACCATCACTAACAGTGATCTACCATTATCACTAACAGTCATCTACCACCATCACTAACAGTGATCTACCATTATCACTAACAGTCATCTACCACCATCACTAACAGTCATCTACCACCATCACTAACAGTGATCTACCACCATCACTAACAGTGATCTACCACCATCACTAACAGTCATCTACCACCATCACTAACAGTCATCTACCACCATCACTAACAGTGATCTACCATTATCACTAACAGTCATCTACCACCATCACTAACAGTCATCTACCACCATCACTAACAGTGATCTACCATTATCACTAACAGTGATCTACCACCATCACTAACAGTGATCTACCACCATCACTAACAGTTATCTACCACCATCACTAACAGTCATCTACCACCATCACTAACAGTGATCTACCACCATCACTAACAGTGATCTACCACCATCACTAACAGTCATCTACCACCATCACTAACAGTGATCTACCACCATCACTAACAGTCATCTACCACCATCACTAACAGTCATCTACCACCACAGGTAAACAGCCTCGGAGTTTATCAACACTGTGTGCCATGGGAGATCCTCTCATGTTGGACGACAGTAAGCAGCGACCCTTCCTGTGTGGCACTGACCCTGGCACGCCTCAGTGCCCCACACTTTACAAGTGTCAAGTTACTAGAGGTAAGTTCAGGACACTAGTGTCATACACACTCTCAGTCTATTAATTATTCCCTGTCACTATGCCTCCTCCATCTCTCTCACTCTTAAATTCTCTCTCACTATGCCTCCTCCATCCCTTCCTATCCCAAATCACATCAGCAACTTATCCTGTTCTAGCTTGGCCTCTCGTCTATCCTCTCCTCCCCCACTCCCCTCTTGCATTCCCTCCCTCTCCCCAACTCTCCTCTTCCATTCCCTCCCCCACTCCCCCACCAACACAAGAGTGGGGTGCTAAAAGTATAGTGGATGTGAGCTGGTGTTATCCTTCACTGGTAAATTATATGTCTTTTATTATTGAAGTAATGTTGCAGCATCCAGCCTCTGATGCTGCTCTCTCAGAGAGAGAGAGAGAGAGAGAGAGAGAGAGAGGAGAGAGAGAGGAGAGAGAGAGAGAGAGAGAGAGAGAGGGAGAGAGAGGAAAAGACAGACAGCAGAGTAGCCGGAAGTCCAAACTAAAGCTATCTGCTGAGAATTATCTACTTCTGTGTAGATGAAGGTCTATCGGGTAAAGGAGGTTTTGTGGGCGAGGGGCTTGGACTTCCAGCAAGCGTGCGTGAGCGTGTTTGATAGGAGTGAATGGAGACGAATGGTATTTGGGACCTGACGAGCTGTTGGAGTGTGAGCAGGGTAATATTTAGTGAAGGGATTCAGGGAAACCGGTTATTTTATATAACCGGACTTGAGTCCTGGAAATGGGAAGTACAATGTCTGCACTTTAAAGGAGAGGTTTGAGATATTGGCAGTTTGGAGGGATATATTGTGTATCTTTATACGTATATGCTTCTAAACTGTTGTGTTCTGAGCACCTCTGCAAAAACAGTGATTATGTGTGAGTGAGGTGAAAGTGTTGAATGATGATGAAAGTATTTTCTTTCTTTTTGTGTCACCCTGCCTCGGTGGGAGACGGCCCGACTTGTTATATATATATATATAATTTATATATATATATATATATATATATATATATATATTATATATATATTATATATATTTATATATATATATATATATATATATATATAAATGTATATAGAGAGAGAGAGAGAGAGAGAGAGAGAGAGAGAGAGAGAGAGAGAGAGAGAGGACACAAACAGTTCTAAGACTAGATTAAGGTGATTCTTCAGAAGTTCAGTTTATCTGACCATCTGACCTTACACCTTGCAACTTTGACCTTGTTGAAAAAAATGACCCGAAGAAAACCAGATTATTATTATTATAATCAAGGGGGAAGCGCTAAACCCGGAAAATTATACAGCAAAAGAAGAAAACCAGAGCCCTTATTATTAGAGGTACATGATATTTCGTGTTCCACGTCGACGTTTCGACGTTCACTACACACGAGCGAAACGTCGTGGACGTCTAATAACAAGGACGTTTGTAATCGCGACTTTTCGCCCTGTAGTCGCAATTTTGCATTATCAGACCCTTGACCCCTGCAGATCAGCTACTTTTCGCCCTGTTTTCACAGTTGTACATTATCTGACCTTTGACCCCTGCAGGTCAGGACTACGGTGTATGCTGCGCTGCAGTGGAGGAACTGGAGAAGCCTGGACAGTGCCCACTGGAAGGTGGAAGCTCTCTAGTGGGTGTTGGAGGCGAGGAGGAGGAAATGAGGTGTGGAGCCTCCTGTCTCCACGACCTCCAGTGTCCCTCCACACAGAAGTGTTGTATATCAGACATCTGTGGTCAGCACTGTGTCCAACCTGTCAATCTCACAGGTGAGTCCTTCTCCCTAGAGCCAAAGGGAAGCCCCCCTTGACTCTATAAGTGTGTCCCCTAACCTGATACTGAGTCCTCTACCCTCGTTACTAGTAAATCCCCTTGTCTCTAAGGGGGTCTTCTAGCCTACCAGTGTGTCCTCACATTTCATCCCCTAGCCTTATGTAATATATATAATGATATTTTATATATATATATTTATATTATATATATATATTTCATATATATATATATATTTATATATATATATATGTATAATTTATATATATATATATATATATATATATATTTATATATAATATATTTATATATATATATATATATATATATTATATTTTTATATATATTAAGTTCTTCTAGGTAAGTGGCTTGTTACTTGTGAACTGTTTTGAAACACTGTTATTATGCAATACTGTTATTTTTCTTTTACTCTGACTAGTCTAGTAGTTCCGTATTTGCATCTTACGCGGCGTTTAATCATGAATGAGCATTACGGGGCAAAAATAAAATAGGTTATAAAAGTGTAAGATTACTCGGAGCAAGAGAAATATACAGAGAGTATGTGGGATGGGGATAAGTTCTTACTGTGGTTCCAGCATCCAGTTGTTTTCACTCGCCTCAGTGGCTCCTCGCAGGCCCATTCCACCCTCGAATTTAGATTTGTTGGTTAGGACACTTCCAGCCTTGCCGTTTTGTGGATTTGTGAGATTTAGTTGAGGTCTTAACGTTTTTGTGTGTGTGGATTTCGGAAGCGGTTTGGCGGCTCAGGGGTGGATCCGGAATGCGGGTTACTGTAAAGGGAATTCACGTCCCATTACGAGGTAACTGAAGTTCACGAGAAACCACGGAGAATCGATGCTAAAAATTTTGTTTTCTAACTCTCGTATCTTTTTAAAAACATCAGATGTACTCCTGTTAACCCTTTTTGAGGCCTACTTCCCAGGCCTTTTGTGTATCCATATGTTCTTGTGCCTCCTTCCTCAGGATGGATATGTGTTACACAATAAACTAGCGCTACCATCTCAGGATGTATATGAGGGTAAAATTAAACTAGGCCACCACATCCACAGGTGAATATGAGGTACACAATAATATAGACACACCTTCCCACAGGTTGGATTTGAGGTACCAATAACCAAGCCAATACCATGCAACAGGATGGATATGTGGTAAACAATAAATAGCCACTTCCAATCCACAGTTGGATATGAGGTACAATAATAATCTAGCACTAACATCCCAAGGATGGATATGGAGGTACAAATAAACTAGCCACCACCATCCACAGGATGGATATGAGGTACTCTATAATACTAGCCTTACCATCACAACAGGATGGTTTTGAGGTAAACAATAAACTAGCACTACCATCCACTGGATGGATTGAGGTACACAATATACTAGCCACCACCATCCACAGGTTGGATATGAGGTACGCAATAATAACTAAGCCACTACCATTCCACAGGATGGATTTGAGGTACACATAACTAGCCACTTCCTTCCACAGGATGGATTTGTGGTAACACAATAATAGCTCTACACATTCAAAGGATGGATTCAAGGTTACACAATAAACTAGCCTCCCACCATCACTGGATGGATATGAGGTACACAATAAACTAGCATTCCAGCCAAGGATGGATATGAGTACACAATAAACTAGACCACCACCATCCACTGGTTGCTTGTGGCTGTTAGAACATGCTTATTTCCTTTTTTCAGATGGATAATCTTTATTGTATTATTATTCGTTTAAAGGTATCCCAAATACAGGGGTATTCCAATTGTCGTTTACATGGTATACCATGAAGAATGATATTTATATTCGTTTTAAAAGGTATCCCAAGAAAGTGTTTATACGTAGTCGTTTACAAGTATACCATAAGAAAGGGGTTTCCTATATTCGTTTTAAAGGATCCCATGGAAGAGGGAAACTAGTAATTTTGTTTACAAGGAGGACTCCTAGAAAAGGGGGATACTTATATTCGTTTATATGGTAACCCAGGGAGTGAGGATACGATATCGTTTAAAAGGTATCTCAAGAATAGGGATATTTCGATAGTCGTTTACATGGGTTTATCAAAGATAGTTGGATAACTATTATTCGGTTTCAAAAGGCATCCCATGGATTGCACCTTTAAGCTTATCTTTGGGATTCATGGTATCCATAAGAATTTATACTGATATTCGTTTTCAAGGTTTACACCAAGGAAGGGTATCGAAGAAGGTATACAGTTAATTATTTACAAAGATATTCTAAGGAAAAGGGAGTGTACCGATATTCGTTAAGGTATCCCCATGTGGGAATGGAAATATACTACGTATATCGTTTTATATTAGTTTACAAGGTATCTCAAGTTATCAAGGTTCTCCCTTAATAACTTGAGAGCGACTCTCCCGATGGCTTCAAACTTCGGAGTTGGTATATTCTTATCCAAGGAACATCCGGAACTGTGTTCAGGGCTGTGCTGGAGCCAGTTGACCAGTTCTGCGCCCAAGCAAATAGCGCAACAGTGTGTGTGTGTGTGATAACGTGGAACTAGTACGTAAGTAAGTAAGCAAGTTAAGTAAGCAAGCAATAAAGCAAAGCTTGTAAGCAAGCATGTAAGCTATCAAAAGCACCGAAAGTTTTACCCAGGAAAATACTTGCGTTATTCCTTAAATAATAGATTATGTGTACTGGATGATTATAAAACTTTGTACGATTGCAGTAATAGTTCATGGTCCTCAGACAATTTAGAGAAAACTTAAAAACCACTAACAATTCCCCAGGACCCTTGTGGATACTGTTTGTAAGGGTGTTAAAGGAATTGTAAAGAGTGAACTTAGCATACCTTTGGCTTATCTTTTTATATATCACTACAAAACTGGCATAGTGCCGGTTAAATGGGTAAAATGGCCAAATGATATCCTATTTACTAGGCAGGTGAAAGGTCCTTTGGCTTCGTACTTGTAGACAATATCGCCTTTCCTCATAGTCGGAAAATTTTTGGAATCACATAATTGACTGAAGCAATGTCGTAGCACATCTTGACAGGCACAGATTGTATTAATGCAATCTCAACACGGTTTTACAAAGGGGCGTTCATGTCTTTCGAATTTTACTAACTTTTTTCATATAAGTATTTGAAGGAGGTAAATCATGGTTATGTATTTGTTTTGTGTATATGGTCTTCAGTAAGGCTTTCGATAGTGTTCCACACCAGGTGGTTATGAGGAATCTTAAGGGACATGGATAGGAAGGAGAAATTTTTTTCTGGGTAGGGCATGGCTGACAAAGAGACAGAAGAGTGTTTGCATAAATGGGAAGAAATCAGAATGGGGCACGTCACAAGCGGTTTCTCAGGGAGTCTGTGTTGGGCCAGTTGTTGTTCAAATTTACAGTATAGACATAGATTGAGGGAATATATAGCGGACCTTAGCAAATTTGACTGATGGACACAATATAAGACGTCCATTCTTCTAATGAGGACATTAGAGCACTCCAGGATGATTTGAAATTGACTGATGCATTGGTCGGTGATAGTGGCAGATGCAGTTTAATTTTGTTGGAACAGTTAAATAAACATTACACATATAAACTATTAATGGAGATCTTTATACTACTGATTGCGAAAAGGATTTAGAGTTCTGGTTAGCCAGAATCTTATCCGAGGAAATGGGTGACCATGGCGTAATAGCGCACAAAATGCGTTGAAAGGAAAAACAGGAAAAATGTTCGGGTCGGATGGATCTTTAATTTCCTCACTACAGAACCAGAGAGTAGTCGTCAACAGAGTAATCGAGGCAGCTTCGGGAAAAGCTCTGTTCCACAAGGCACAGTACTTGCTCCCATCTTGTTCATACATCTATATCCGACATAGACAAGGTTGTCAGGCCACAGCACCGTGTCTTCCTTTGACAGTTGACACCGAATACTGCATGACAGTGTCTTCCATGCAGGACACTGCAAAGATCCAGGAAGACATCAAACAAATCTTTACAGTGGGCTGCAGTAAACCAATTTGTTGTTTCACGAGTGTGAATAATTTCAATTATCAGATATGGTTAGCATGAGGAAATTAAATCGTCATCAGAGTAAAAATAAAATTCTGGCCTCCATAATAGTGCGAAACACCATCGTTCAAAGACTGGGTAGAGAGTGATCATGTCGGAGGTTCTCACCTTAGGTCCATAACTTGTTATCAATCGCAGCTGCTAGAAAAATGACAGGTTGGATAATGGAACCTTCAAAAACTAGGGAGCCAAGCCATGATGACACTCTTCAGGTCACTTGTTCTATCTAGGCTGGATATTGCTGCACAATTTACAGCACTTTCAAGGCAGGGTTGAAATTTCCGCCCGACCTAGAAAATGTACAGAGAACTTTCACGGGCGAGCATTAACGGAGATAGTACACCTCAATTATTGGGAGCGCTTGAGGTTCCTAAACTGTATTCCCTGGAAGCAAAGGAGGGAGTGATACATGATTATATACACCTGGAAAATCTTGAGGGACTAGTACCGATACTTGCACACGAACTCACTCATTACGAATGCAAATAAGACTTGGCAGTCGATGCACCTTACACCCCATTCAAAGCAGGGGTGGCAATAGCACGTTAAAAGAGACCATACAATATGTGTCAGTGGGCCGAGGATGTTCAACTGGCCTCCCAGCACACATAAGGGGGATTCCAACAGACCTGGCAGTTCTTCAGCTGCACTGTCAAGCAACCTAGAAGTCAGTTAGGATCAGCCGGGCTGTAGCTCGTTGTTGGTTTGAGTGCAGCCCAGCAGCAACAGCTGGTTGATCAGGTCTGATCCACCTGGGGCCTGGTCTCAGACCGGGCACGCGGGGGCGTTTTGACCCCCGGAACTCTCTCCAGGTAAACTCCAGGTAATAGTGCATTGTGTTCGCAATAAGCTAACGAATTCTTGGCTGCCTTATCTAGAAATATAAATATTAGAAGTCCTCTGTTGTTCTTCAACTCTATATTATCCTTGGTTAGCCTCTTTTAGACTATGCTGCACAGTTTTGGTCACCCGTATTACAGATTGGATAAAAGCTATGGAAAAGATACAGAGGTGGATGACAAAGATGTCCATGTATCAGATAACATTCCCTATGAGGATTCAGACTAGGGGCCCTGAATCAGCTCTCTTTAGAAAGTCTGTAGAATTAGGGGGGATATGATTGAGTGTTATTTTATGGAAGACAGGAATATAAGGGGATGTAAATAGTGTGCTGTAAATATCTAGCATAGAACAGACTCGCATCAATGGTTTTAAGTTGGAAAAATTCAGATTCAGGGAAGGATATAGGATAGTAACTGGTTTGGTTTATAGAGTTGTGGATGAGTGGAACAAACTCCCGAGTACAGTTATTCTGGGCTAAAAACTTTGTGGTAGTTTTAAAAATAGGTTAGATAAAGACATGATTGGGTTGTGGTGTGGGTGTGAGTTAGTACTGACTAGTTGTGCTGCTGGGTCTGGTGCAGTGCTCCATCCTTGAGTGGAGATGACCAGACTGGGTGGGTCATTGGGCTAATCCGGGGGGGTTGGTCATTGGTCTAATCCGGGAGGGGGACATGGACCTGCTCCACATGGGTCAGTAGGCCTGTTGCAGTGTTCCTTCTTTCTTATGTAAGCAAGCAAGTATGTAAAAAAAAGCAAGCAAGAAAACAAGTAAGCAAGCATCAACCAAGTAATTAAGTAAGCAAGCAAGTAAGTAAGCAGGTAAGTAAGGTTATTTAAACACAGGCACACATAAGTATAATTATCATGCACATATGTATATTAACTTATATAACCCAAAAAGGTCAAGTGACTGACTCCCAACTCATCAATATTTTGTTATTAAAATACATTCTGTGTGAACGTTCCAGCGTGCCTCCTGCAGTGAAGATTGATCGCCGTGTGCTGCTGGTGAGTGAACGTGAGGGGAAGGGCTACGTTCCTCAGTGCCAGGAGAAGAACGGCCTCTACCAGCCCCGTCAGTGCTCCAGGAACGGTCTAATATGTTGGTGTGTGGACAGTCACGGCAACAAGCTGGCTCGTTCCCTCGCTGCTGCTCACGAGGTCGACTGTACCCACCTGTCAGGTGAGTACGAGGGCAGGGGAAGGTAGAGGGATAGCCAGGGAGGTTGAGAGATACCCAGCGGAGGCAGAGAGGTACCCAAAGGAGGTAGAGAGATACCCAGAGGAGGTAGAGAGATACCTAGGGAACGTAGCCAGGATACGTGGCAGTTCCTGGATCAACTACTCTTTTACTGTAGTTGGTTAATGGAGTTTCAAGTCTATCTACTACACGAGGGTCATTAAGACTGGTTGGTTGGTTACTGAAGTTTATAATCTATCTACTACACGAGGGTCATCAAGGCAACATGTCAACCGGATCTCCCACGGTCAAGACATTTTAATAACTAAAATACTGATTAATGTAAACTACCAGTGTATATATACTGAGAGATACACACCTCTCAGTGTATATACTGTACACAGATGCACACTTCTCGGTATATATACACTTGATAGGTACACTCATCACGGTGTATATACACTGAGAGATACACATCTCTCCTTCTTAATACACTGATTACAACTCTGCTGCCTCCTCTGCACTCGACTGAAGCAGCCTGCTGTGTAGGTGAAACATTTTGGTATAAAAATACCTATACACAAATAACCCGCACGAAGGAGAAAGAAGCTTACGACGACATGTCGGTCCGCCTTGAACCATTTACAAAGCCACACTGACAGGAAAGAGTGAGGTTAGGTTAGGTAAGGCAACAGGACAAGTGTTTCCTGACGCGTGTCTTAGGTGATGACCCACAGTTAGAGCTTTTGGTCGTCTAACCGAGGCCTTCCACTGGCTTGAGGAGCCAGTATATATTGGCGAGGGGGACAGGGACGGGACCACGAGAGGAAGAAGAGGAAGTAGTGGTAGTAGTAGTAAAGGAGATAGCAGAAGCAGTAGTAAGTAGAAGAAATAGTGGTAACAGAAAGTAGGGAGAGTAGTGGCACAAGAAAGTGGAACAAAGGATGAAGGGAGGCAATAGTAGGGGAATGATTAAGACACATGTGTAACAGTTGGATATATTAACTGATGTGACGTTTCGCCTTTATTAGGTCATCGTTCTCTTGGGGCCTTCAGCTCATATCGTTCCTGACATTGGGCTGAAGCTCCTTCTCCTGGCTGAGGTGACTGACCACCTCAAATATTTTTTCACCAAGGTTGATAGATTGATTACATCATCTTTATTTCATTACTACTTTTCCCTTTGTATTTGACTGAAGAAGTCTACTGTGTAGGCGAAAAGTTTTACCAATAAAGATACCCAACTGTTGCACATGTGTCTTAATCTTCAAACTTGTCGGTTATTTAATTCCTTTTGTCATCTATAGTAGAGGAATTTTTGGACTGAAGTTGCCACTGGTTGGTAAATATTTTCCAATACATAAGGGACTCCAGATATGGCAAGATTATTTCAATCTTCACATGACATACAACCCAAACACAGCCTCAACAAAGGTACACGATATGGTATGTATTTTTCAATCTTCAACATGGACTTACAACCCAACACAGCCACCAAAACAAAGCGTACTTCACCAGTGACTTATCGATAATAAACTAAATAACGGCACTACTAGGACCAAGACGGGAATTTTGGAACCCCTTCTTTATTTACGAGCATCCTGCTTAATACCTGCTACACATGGCACTCCACCCTGCTGCCGCTTATAAGTAGATGCCTGGGCATATTGAATTTATGGCACTATCAACGTCGTTATGTATTCTCATCTCTGTTTTATAGCGTTATCTTGGACGAGACGGGCAATATTGTACAACAATAACTTAGTCAAGGTACAAGGGTGTCAGTGTTGGTTAATGGAGTTTAAAATCTATCTACTACACGAGGGTCATTAAGGCTGGTTGGTTGGTTAATGGGGTTTAAAGTCTATCTACTACACGAGGGTCATTAAGGCTGGTTGGTTGTTTAATGGAGGTTTAGCTATCTACATACACGAGGGTCATTAAGGCTGGTTGGTGGTTAATGGGGTTAAAAGTCTATCTATACTCGGGGTCATTAAGGTGGTTGGTTTGATTAATGGGGTTTTATAGTCATTTACTACACGAGGGTCATTAAGGCTGGTTGGTTGATTAATGGGGTTTATAGTATATCTGACTACCACGAGGTTCATTACATTCAAGGAATGGTTGGTTGGTTAATGGGGTTTAAAAGTCTATCTACTACACGAGGGTCATTAAGGCTGGTTGGTTGGTTAATGGGGTTTAAAGTCTATCTAATACTCGAAGGGTTCTTTAGGCTGGTTTGATGGTTAATGGGGTTTAAAGTCTATCTAATTCATCGAGGGTAATTAAGGCTGGTTGGTTGGTTAATGGGGTTTAAAGTCTATTACTAAACAGCGTCATATAAGGCTGCAGGTCCTGTTCACCAAAAGTCAAGAATACTTTAATATCTAAAATTACTGATTGTTGTAATCTATCCTGTGTTATATCACTGAGAGGTTATAAACTTCTCTGTGTATATACACTGAGAGATTACACCTCAGTGATATATATCCCTGAGAGTTGATATAAATTTCTCAGTGAATATACACATGTTGTTATGCATTATACCTCTCAAGTATATTATTTTTTATTGGTATAATGGCGAGGATTGGCGGTATTTGCTGTCCACGATGCTGTATTTTCTATTACACAGTTAATAAACTGCCAATGCGATACATAGAGATCGTTCTACCGCTACGTAGCGATAGC